CCCAGCCCCTGTAACCATGACACCTGGAGAAGAGAAGGCTCCATAAAGACCTATTGCATCCTTAGTGACTTATTGCATCCTTCCAGTATCTGAAGGGGGCCTACAAGAAAGCTGGGGAGGGACTATTTACAAGGGCTTGTAGTGATCAAATGAGAGGTAGCAGCTTTAAACTGCAAGAGGGTAGATTTAGATTAGAGGTGTGGAAGAAGTTCTCCACTCTGAGGGTGGTGAGACACTGGAACAGGTTGCTTAGGGAAGTTGTGGATGCTGCATTACTGAAGGTTGTAGATGCTCCATCACTGGATATGTTCAAGACCAGGTTGGGTGGGGCCTTGCACAACCTGGTGTAGTGGGAGGTGTCCCTGGTCATGGCAGAGGGTTTGGAACTAGATGATTTTTAAGGTCTATTCTAACCCATACCATCGTATGATTCTGTGATTCTGTATTTGCCTTCCAAATCTAAGTAGGAATAAAAACGTATTTCTGGGAAATACGTTGCTTTCACTCCCTGCAGACTTTCATTCATTTGAAAGTGGTTCGGTTTCTTTATTTTTGTTCATGTTATTGGTGTTTTGATTGTTGTCCAGCATTATTTTTCTTGTAAGGGTCCAAGATTATACAGTGAAGGAGATGTTTTGGAAGACTATTAGAAGATAACTATTGTTATCTCCCTGACAAAACTATTGTTTGGCTTGGGTTTAGTCTCTGCTGTTTACCCGTTAGGCAGGTGACAGGTAGCAAATGAGTGAAAGAAATTTTAAAAATCCATGATCGCTTTTGTGGCAAAACTGGAAAAAAATGAAATATTCATGTCACCTTACTATTACCTAACAGCCATTATATTCTTCTCTTGTAGCTGGCAAAACGTGGATTAAATGTAGTTATGATAAGCAGAACTCTTGAAAAACTGCAGCGAGTAGCCTCTGAAGTTGGTAAGTGTCTGTCTCCAAGTTACTTCCCATTTAGCAGGCTGGCTTGGCAGGGATCTGGAGGTGTCTTCCCTAGTTACAGTATCTCATACAGTAGGGCCCCAGGTATTGCTACAGGTATAGCCCTTGGTATTGCTCCAATACTGCAAATAATTTCTGGTACTGTGTTGCTTGAACCCTTCTAATCATGGATCATTTTTAAAAAACACATGCTGTCATTCAAACAGCACAATAGAATTAATTAACAAAGTGAGTGTGGGTTCTTTACCAGCTTCATCTACCCTTAAAATCAGTAAATATAGGCAACGGAGATTTAAAACTAGAGTTGTCGAAGGGATCTGTTAAACAGCTTATGCTTGGAAAACAAGATTACCTTTAGGGTAGTTCATGGAACATAGCAAAGGAAGGGTAAAAATGAAATCAAGGTACCTGTTTTGATTTCCTTCTTTGTATTCTGGGGTTTTGAGGGGGTTTTGTTTTGTTTTGGCTTTTTTTTGTTTGTTTCCATGAGGTTTTCAAGTCACATTTGGCTTCCAACAAAGGAGTTTAATAGTGTGTCTTTAGAATTAATGTTCCCTTTCTTTTCTTCAAAGGCAATTAGCCATTTACCCTGGGGAATGACTTGTTTAAATATGTTATTAGGATCTCTTTAGGAGTGAAATGAGTTTATATCCTCCATGAAGTTTAAAGATTGCTGTAATCAAGCTTGTTCTTACCACTGTCTCTTTTTCAATACATGGCTTCTTTCCAGCAGGTTCCTTGATTCACAGGTTCATGTCTTAAGCATGTATCACTCCAAGACTACACCTCTGTCAGAAAGGCTTGCCTTTAAGGAGACTTAGCAGCTGACTCCAATGGAATATCAGGTCTAGAACCTGCAGAGAGAACAATGCATTTCTGAGGGGCATGGCAGACTTGAAGTGGGTGAAAAAGTCTGTACCTTATGAACTTGCAGCTACCAAAGTCAAGGCTTGGATCCTGAAACTTTCTGTCCGCTTTCCCTCCCTTTTTATTCCAGAATGAAATTTGTTTTCCCTTGGGAAGCAAAGGGTATCAGAGGAGGAAAGCACCAACTCCCTGAATAGTCTCTATAAGCAGTTGTATCTGTGAAACCATTGTCATTATGGCCTACACTAGCCCCTCTTAAGTAAGCAGCCATAAAAAATAATTTCTGTGGGAATTAGGTCATCTCTGGTGTCATTGCTGAATTTCTTTGCAGATAAATGGTAAAGAAAGACAGTAATAGATAACTGAATAAAAAAAAGACTAAATTATTTTTATTGTTTCTCTGCATTGTAAATTATAATCAGAAGCAAAGAATGAAAACCATAAGATTCCTGAGACTAACACAGCTAAGAAAGGTAAAAAGTGGTGGAGATTAGAGATTACATACTGTAAATTCCTCTGCACTATGAGCTGTTGAAAAGCCATCCACTGACCACCTTCCTACTTGAGGCCATACTGTACTGAATTGTAGATTGTAGCAGCATGTAATTGAAGGACTTGGCAGGTCCTGGAGGGTACTGCTGAGACAGCCTACCCTGCAAACTCTGTTGCACCTCATGGAAAAGTGACCCGTGACTTTTTGCACACGAGGAAGCTTCACTGACAGCAGCAGAGCTGTCCGTTAATCCAGGGTGCAGGGGTATGGGTGCTGTCACTGACCTCAGGAGCTCAGGCTGTGCTGGTCAGGTTTCCATGTTATGTTCTGCTGGGTTGTGGGCATAAAGACTCTTCCCCAAAGATTGTTGAAATTGGTGGGAAATAACAGCGAGATCTTCCCATTGTTTTCTGTGGATTTTAGCTGAAACTCTGACTCATCTGTTATTTGTTGTGCCAGGTTGGAAATGAGTACGTAACAAGTAGATGGCACAAATAAAAGGAAAGAGAGTAAGATACAGTGATGAAAAGCATAGAGTATCTGACCTGGAGGGCACCAAGATCATCAGGAAGCTCTGAATGTGAGCTTATGTTAAAGCTTGGAAATGTTTCACTGATTCCAGTCTTCACACTCCGACTTTACTGAAGTTAAGCTGGATAGACATTGCAAAGAAGGAGAAGCTAAACTTACTGTGAAATCTGACCTAACACAATGAAAACAATAACAACGAAAACCAAAAATGAAGCAGAAACTTCACCAGAACATACTGTTTTCTAAATTTTCCCTCACTGACTTTTCCTCTCTAAACTTCTTAAACGAGCAGTATCTCACTTCAAGTGGCTATCATTACCCGGAACTAACATGCAAGGAGACTGAGGCGTAGAGAAAGAGTTTGTTGTAGGCTAAGTAACCTTGCTGTGGGACTGGACACATTTCTCGTTTCCTTTTTTGTAACAGCTACACCATATATCTTTTTGCACTCAGTTGGACACTATAATTAAAAGACTTGCTTCCCGTTTCAAAGGGATTATGTTATTTGCTTAATCATACTGTCATACTGGAAAAATATAAAAGAGACTAAACTGTAGGTAATTTCAGAGACCTCAGTGTTTGGGTTTCCAAGTGCTGTGGGCCACAGGTGTGCCTGAGAAAAGCTCTCAGAGCTGGAGCAGTCAGAAATCCACTGGAAGAAAAGTAAGAAAAACATTTCTCTAAAGAAACACTGGAATTAAAAAAAACACATTCCCATCCATTCAGACTGGAGAGCTCTTTTGGAAGGAGATAAAAGATAACAAAATAAATCATGTAACGGGAAGATAGGACCATTACACCAGGTATATCGTTCATTTAACACATGTAATACTGTGTGGGTGAAATATTGCCCAAACATGCAACCAGGAGGTTAGAAATGATGGAATTTTGTTAACCACACTCCTTTTTTTATTTCTTCTGCCTACATTCCTTAAGCAAGGTGTACTAGCAGAGATAGGTCCTGATTGAAAAGTTATATCTTAGGATCTGTTTATATCACCAAGGTCTGTACTGTTTGGCTGTTAATGCTACACAAACAAACAAACAAACAAACAAAAAAGCACCACTTCTGTAAGACATAAATTTATTCACAGCAGGGATGGTCAGGGTTTTTGGGGTTGGTTATTTTGCGGGTCTTGAGCTTGTTTTGTTTTGTTTTGTTTTGTTTTGTTTTTTAGAAGAAATAAATCTGTATTTGAGGTAAGAGAAGGTGTGTGTGATCCTCAGAAAGCAGTAGAAAATACAGCTGTACCAGTTTAGACTGCCTGAGGGTGTAGTTAATGAATTTGCATTTGGTGATGCAGGAAGTCGTTTATCCACTGCTCCCTCCTGAAATTATGCCTGTTAATACAGAATAAAGCAGTCAATAAAAATCACCCCACACAGTCAAGGACCAAATGTGCCTTGCACTCTCCAAGACCTCTGAATGTGCTAATTCATTTAGCTGTCCCCCTTGCTACAGGTTCATTTTCTGGTTTGCTATACTGTGTCCTCTGCTTCTCATCCTTCCTGCTCCAAGAGCTAAGCAGGTAACAAGCTGAGATCACTGACTAGGAGAAAATGACTCTCGCCTTGCACATCCTTCCTTTGTTGTCAAAGGCTGTTAAAAATGCCTGTTATGTCTTGCTGATCCCTTGAGGATAAAGTGTTATTGCTCTGGACTGTTTTCCCAACATGTGCTACTACACAACAGAGTACTTAATGGTCTTGACGAATTTTTTTGAGTGCTCTGGCCTCTACTAGCAATTCCCATGTGTTTTTTTTTTTTGTCACTGAGTTTGTGTTCTTTGGTATCTTCTGTCATCTTTTGCGGTTCTGCTCTTACCCTCATTCTTTTTATTTCTTCTCTATTGTAATGTTATTTTTGAAACTGAGTTATCTTATATCTCTGAGGAGATATATTTCTCCAAAAGACTTGAAATGTAGCCAGAACTTTTGCTTTCAAATCTATCAGAACTTTTTCTATTTTTCCCATCTTAAATATTTTTTTTTACCTCTTCCTGTTGTTACAATAACTTCTCATTTTGCTCTCCACTCTGCAAATTTCCACTGAATATGTATGCCATCTTAGACTGATTGTTTTTCTCTTCATATTCAAATTTCTCTGTGATACTTCTAAAGGATTTCTTCTTTCTACGCAGATCAGTTCTTGCATCACACAGGCATTCATTTTGCTGCCGCAGGTTTTCAGAAGATCTTCATAACTCTTTAAACAGAGAGTTTCTGCCAGACTGTATGCCCTAACCAGCTTCATGCTTCATCCTGATTAATCCTCTTGGTAAATTTCAAAAGGCAGCACATTATCCTATCTGGCAAGTGGGATTCCCAAGTGGTCTGAGGTCAGAAGGAGTAAGATATATCCTTCTTCGTGATATGTTTTGTAACACGTCAGATTAAAGAATTCAGTTCAAGTTTTTAATTTTCCCTAATTAATTTTCTTTTCATTTTTAAAAAAGGCAATAACCTGTCCTGATGTTTGGAAACTTAGACTTTTTGCTTCTGGCACACTTAAATCTTTTGAAAAGAGTTGGAATGGCTTGTGTCTTCCAAGACTGTCATAAATCTTTGCCACAGAGAGGGAGAGACATAAGAAACATTGGAAATAATTTTTTGGCCCTCTCCTTTGCAGAATTGTTATCATTTTCTGAAGAGCTATCCCTGGATAATTCATTTATCAGTATGATAGTTTTATTGGTTTTTAATATATTGTTTTATTCTTAAATGAGACAGAGGAAAGCCATCTGGAGTACCTGTTTGTTGGCTGACAGTGCTGGTTGCAGCAGCACAGTTCTGTACAGACAAGGGGATGCAGAGAAAGTCCAAATGGTTTGTTTGATCCTCATTTTTATGTTGCTCTAGTTTTGGCTGCCCTTCTGATTGCCTGCAAGAAAGACGGCCACAAGTCACTACACTTTTTAAGACCATTTCGTTTTGTTTATAGAGCTCTTCTGTCAGAAGGTCACTGTAGGTGTCTGCTCCAGCTGTTGCTCTGCTCTTTCCCACTCGCTGCATTTACACTCACAATGTCCTTTGCTTTATAGCTGTAACATTCCCGCAGCCTTGGACCACAAGGGGGTCATTTGCCACTAGAGTTGCTTTTATAGGTTGAAGGTTCAAAGGGTGTTTCGTTCCTTTCATACACAGCAGCTTGGAAAGGGGGCAAGAAAGATGGCACTCCTTCCTCCTTTTTTCTGTCATGGAGACAGATGTCCTCAAAGAGAACACGAGATGCACCCTGCATTTCAGATCTGGAGTCAGCACATTTGCTGTTTCCTCAGACTGCTTGCATTACTAGAGCAGTGTAAGGTGGTTGAGACTTGCAGCATATCAAGGGGCAAAGAGGAATAACTGTGAGGGAACAACTTTCTCATCTTCTAATGGAGGCTCTGTTTTGTTGAAGACTGGCCTGCTGGACCAAAAGCCAGCTTTCTGCTAGCCTTGCTCTCCTGTGGGAGCTGATGCAAGCCCTCTTCTTAAGTTCTGAATGTACACCAAGGGGATGGGGCAAGATTTCTGGTTAGAAATCAGTGAGACTTAATTCCTGTTCAAGGCAATGCTCTCTGTCACCTGTATGATAGTCAGGCTCCAAACAAGCAGAGGCAGTTTCCCAAACTGGACCCGAAGCAGGCTTTCTGCCATCCATTTGCACCTGAATACCTGCCACGTGCAGAGAGTCTGCAATCCAGTCATCTACTTATGTTCCCAAGCTTTCCCTGTCACTTTTTCAGCAAACTTCATCTGGATTTCAGGTTGCTCATAAAACTTGAAAGCAGGTTTAGTAACAAGAATTTACAATGTGAACATCTAGTTACAAGAGACCTTACTGGGCCCCTTTAAAGGAGAAGCTTGTCTTTAAAAATGAGTAAATAACAGCCTCTACGTCATTTTCTCATGAAACTTCATTGAATATATGAACAGCAATAAATCGACCTCTGAGAAAAATGTTAATGTACAGCGGGGCTCCACTCCAGCTTAGCAATGACACTGGACAAGCCACACATATTTCCCTTTCCTTTCTGTGTAATTTGACCGTGTAAAATTTAAGCTATAATTTCCCTAAAATGCCTCTTAGTCCTGCAAAATCATGGGGAAAGTTTAGTCTACAGGAATGCAAATGTCAAAACAGGAGAGGAATTTTTTGAAAGTAGTGCACAAAATACTGTGTCACATCCAGCCCTATTTTCCTCTCCTCCTGCATAAGAAGATAAGTGCTGTGTGTTAAAATGTTCACCTAGTGCATGAAAATGCTTTCAAAACATTCTGCAAAACTGGCTTACGTAGAGAACCTGGCACCCACATTCACTTGTCTAATGTACGCCGACAGCATTCAGTACGATAACCAGGGAGAGAAGTCCTGTATTGTTTATTTCTGGTTTGTTTTTTATTTTCCTTACTGAAGGACCAAATGCTGTTTAGATTTTGTGAGGCAGCTTCCACTGATTACAGGGCATAAATTCATCCTGTATCTGCTAGGCCATTTCCCTGAAAACAACTGGGTACGGTGTTTTGCTTGTGTTGTAGTATTTCTTGAGGTAAGAAAGCTGAAATGATTGCCTACTGCACGGTGGACATTACTAAATGAGACATCTGATAGTTTCCCTCATTACTTAGTTACAGCTCTCCTGCCTTCTAGGTAGATGAAAAGGAGTCTTTTGTTGTGTTTTTTTGTTGTTGTTTGTTTTTTTTTTCCTTGATTATAGAGCAGACCACAGGTCGAAAGGTGAAGGTTATACAAGCTGATTTCACAAAAAATTCAATATATGAGAACATTGAAAAACATCTGCAAGGCTTGGATGTTGGTGTTCTGGGTGAGTCATTTAAGTCTGTTAATTGAAGAATGTTTTATGGATGCAGTGTATTAAACAGAAAATTGTATAAATGATTTGTCATAACAACTTGTTTGCCAATACCTAAAGCATATAGCTACCTAGTGCATTTGGGCATTGCTTCTCATAAACAAGTTTTAAAAGTGAATTAGGATTCTCCAAAGTCTTCCTGTTTCTCTGTACAGTGGCTTCTTTACTGTGAAATCTCGTCTGCCACTTTATAAGCAGCATGCAGCTTGTAGGGTGACTTCTTCCCTGTTTGGCCTCCAGGAATTAATTTTCACTATTGATTGTTTTACTGCTATGTTCAGTTCTTACATTCAATCTGAAATAAGCCTGTGGCTAGCACTAATTGGCATGATCCACACAGCAACAATGAAAACGTTTTTTTGAGAAAGCTTTTTTTTTTTTTTTAAGAAATTCATCCTTTTAATAGTGACACAAATGAAACAGCAACCACATAACACAAACAAACAAAGCACCAAATTGTAGCAACAGACTTGTTTTGGGTTCCCTGAAATCAGCACTGGTGAATATTGATGACTTCAGTGAGAACAAAACTTGATGCTAAACAGCATTTCTCTTCACATACAGCTCAAAAGCTTCTGGGTCTCAAGGAGAAGCCATTTGTTTAGCTAACTATGCACTTTGTTTAGACTTGCTTCTTATCATTATATTTCCTTTGATTAGTTAACAATGTTGGAATGCTTCATAGTCCTCTTCCATGCCGTTTCCTTGATGGACCAGACATAGATGAGGTAGGATTACTCTGTGGGTTTCTACTTCCAATACAACAATGAGGAATTGTAATTCTATTTAAGAAGGTACACATTCTGCCCCTGCTACTATCAGTGCATGTTTAACTATTCAATTGAGTGAGAAATGAACTGGGCCTAAAGAAGCATATTTTCTTTTGTTTTTTTATAAAGCTCAGAAGAGCTTGCAAGAGAAGAAGGATAGCAGATCTCAGCTAAACTGCAGCAAGCACCCAACAACAGAGGGGAGAGCACGACTGGTCTGGCTGTAGCAGGGATCAGCAGTCTCTCTGGCTTACTCCTTCCCTGTAATATTATGGGGCCACAGCTGAAGTGTTGGGTTCTTGGTAGTATTATTAAATTTTCTTTGGAACACATTTGTTTGGCTTAAATATGTGGAAAAAATAAGCCTCATTTAAACACAGTTTACTTTTTAAATTTTGACAAGTGATCAAGCCTTTCATTGCCTTATTTGTGTTTGCTTGCTGGTGGTGGGAGGGTATATCTAAGTGGCAGTGCTTTTGCCACACAGACCATCTGCCTCTGTCACCGAGAGCCACTCAGTCAGTCTCTGCTTGGCACCTCTGTGACATCTTGCGTGCATCCAGCTTGGTCTGCTAGTGCCATCACTGCCTGGACAGCAGGCTTCCAGGTTTGGCTGGGTGAAACAGGGGCACGGAATCAAAGGAATGTAAAGCAGGTTTGAAATGAAATGAATCAGGACTTACCTGCCCTTCAGTATCCCGTATCGCAGGTATAGTCAGTGACAATACAAGCCAAGCTGAACAGCTCTAAAAGCAACTGCCTTCCGACAAAGCTTTTCAGTTGGAATTGCTTCATTGCCTGGGTAATCTACAAACTCTGAAGTTAAGTATGAGTTCACTGTTTTCTTGCTTCTTGCAGGACCTTATTAACTGCAACATTATTTCTGTTACAAAGGTATGTGACGCTCACATCTGTGTCACTCTATAGTGTAACTTACTGGAAAAAAAATAGTTCCACACATGAGTGACCAACTAACCTTCCTGTGTATTTTCATTTAATTTATAAGCAGATAGTAATTTTCAGTAGGAAATCAGCAATATTTTAAGGCCTCCTTTATTTAGTGCATATGAAATATTTTGATCAGAGCTGAGTGGAAACATTTTAACATAGTTGCTAGGTTGAGATACATGATTACACTGCAGCTGAAACATTTTGGAAAAACATATTTGGTTTGGTAAACAGGCAGATGTGTTTCAGTATCAAAGTCTTCAGGACAGAAAGCTCTGCCTTTTGGCGCTTCTGTTCTGCAGAAATATTTTTGTATCAGTGCAGGACAGAAACTTAGGGAGCTGACTCTGAATTCTGTATTGTTACATCTTGGTGCTAATTTTGGTTGGCTGCTCCCCTTACAAGAAGACTAAGTATTTCATGCTTTCCACCTCTGATTAAGATTTGTATTGCTCTGCTGTTTGCAAGCAGCATATTAACGTGAACAAGAGCTTGGTAGTTCATCTCAACCTTGGCTGATGTCTTTCTAAACATGACATGAAAATTATCAACACATGTTCTTCTTTCTTTGGCTAGCAAAATCTACATCCCAAATCTTTACTGCTGTTTAATGACTTCAGACACTGAATCATGTAATATTACTCAGTTGAAACAAATTCTTTCACAAAGTATTTTGGTGAGCTTTCTGCTCCTTGGTTTTATTCTATGTCAAAAGAACAGAAATATCTGCAATATTGGAATGCTGTGTATATATGCCTCACAAAAACAGGCAAGCATTTTGTATCCTCTCAGCCTGGATACAAGAGGTTTCTCCCTTTATATTTTCCCACCTTACCTTACACATACCTTAGAATCAACCTCTTCTGCTTTACCAGGGTCTGGACATCCCTTCCCCCCACTGCTGCAATGATGTCCTTTTCAGCCTTTCATGAACATTCACCTTCCTTCAAAATACAGAGAGGAAAACATGCTCCTAACCAGCATTTCTATGATCAGGTCCAAATAATCTTTAAGTCTGTTTGCTTCTTTTTCTCCCCACTCCCTGCCTTGATTAATGCTAGGATCCTCCTCCGTTCTTCTTACAGTGGGTTGCCCAAGCTCCTGCTATTCCTGGAGCTCCCACAGATGTCAACAAGATTTTTCAGCACTGCAAAAAGCACTGCAAAAGTGTATTTTCCACTTTACCTGGAAATTCCCCTTCACCCAAGCTGATGTGACCCGTCTATGTTGTCATCCTTTCTAAAAACAAACCTTGTGAAACCTCCACCCTGCTCCTACTATCCTGTTGTGCACAATGACACTACTGAAAAAGCAGGAAATTAGTAAGGATTGAATTAGGTTGCATCATTCGTTTGCACTGCTTTTTATTAATGCCTTTTACAAGTTAGGTCACACTCTTATCATGAGAAGACTCATAGATGATGCATGCTTTTATAAGGGGCTGATAGGGACTCAGGCTATCAATAATACTCTTCAAATACATCACACAGAAGCAGATTTCTTACCTAAAAATTGATTTAATTGCACTTAAAAAATAGTTAATGTGACGAAGTCTGTTGTTAAAATAAGAATGAATTATTAAATAATTAACATAATAACAGATCCCAAATCTCTTTTTGGTAGCAGGGAAAAAAAAAAAAAAGTCATCTTGTTATGATTTTCTGCTACTTCTGGTACAGGCAGAGCCAGAAGTGAAAATGCAAAACCATCATGAAGTTGACTTTTTCCTTACATTTGTGATTTAGTTTTGAAGAATAGTGATATTCAGATACTGTTAGAAAGCTTTGGATAAGCATAACACTTTCACTACTTAGAAAACTAACCTTTGGAATTTTTTGAGGATTCAGATAATTTGCAGGCCATTAGCATTTCTAAATTGTATTGCAAAACTTTGTATGGGCTGCAGTTTAGCTGTTCGAACTATATACGTGTGGCTGGGGCTTAGAGCAAGTGGTAAATCTTGTGTATAAAACAAGATAGTTGAAAAACGCGATCAGAAGGAGGAAGAATGGATATAATTCTTAACGTATTTGCTTTACAGATGACAAAAATAATTTTGAAGCAAATGGAGCAGAGGTAAAAATATTTTTTTTTCTACAAGTTCCTATAGCTTTTAGCAGCTACCTCAAGTTTATTCAGTAGTAAATGTGCTTTTTCGTGATTAACTTCCACACTTTACACTATGCCAATCCGTAAGATTTTTTTCTGTTGCTGTTAGTGCTGTGTGAATGCATAAGAACTGCCACAAACTGCCAGCCAACTGTAGAACAAGACAGAAAATATAAAGTACAGGTCTGTGTCCAGTTAAAACCTGCAGATGTTGCAGAAATAAAATGGCATGAGATGACTCTTGTTAGGCAAGAAACAGCATTTGAATATATTATGTTCTTCTAAGAGTGGTGGCTATGCTTGGAATAATACTTTTCAAGGTCTGGAAGTACCTGTACTACCTCAGAGAGATCAATTCAGCTATACAATTAGGGATCCCTTTTCTCCTTTTAATGCAATGTGTCCTTTAGACATGGGGGTCCTTAAAATAGAAGTTAAAGTCTTTAGCTGAAATTTCTAGAAAACATAGTTAACTACTGCATTTTAGAGGCCAGTGCATGCTTTTTTGTTTTGGGAACAAAATAAGCTCTTTCTGTTTAATTGTTTTGGTTTGGTTCTTCCCTTGTTCTTGATGAAATAGTTGTTTTTAGTGATTTGTACAGGGAGTTGTGAATAGGGAAGCTGAAAGAACACAGGAAAAAGAATGCACTGGCTAATGAGCAAAGGGCACCTACCAGTTATTTAGAAGCATAAAATCTTTCCTCTGATGGCATTTTTTGCTCTGTTAGATGTACAATAGAGTGTACAATATCGCTATGGTTCTGGTTGCACTGTGCATTTAAATTTCACTTATGACATTATTCCTAGCTGTTTTAGACTTAATTGCACCTAACTAAGCCATAAAAATTGAGTCTTTTGAAAGTGTAGTCTACAATATAATAGAGGAGCTATGCCTTCTGGGATAGAAAAGTTGTTTTCCCCTTGTGCAGCCTTTTACTATAATACTTTCAAATGTAAACTGAATGCAACTGTTTAAATGAAATTTCAGACAGAAAGGTCTTATCCTGAACCTGTCTTCTGGTCTGGGTACTTTCCCTTGTCCGTTATACACAATGTACTCAGCTTCTAAGGTAAGTCTTCCACATTACTTTATAAAGAAATCCCCATCAAGTGTTTACCAAAGTGTTTGTCTCAGCAGTTCAAGGCCAGGTGTTCAGGACCTGAATCAGTGTTGCTCCACTGAAATAATGAAGTAATGTAAATTAACACTAGCTCAGCACTTAAGAGTCAGGGAAGCTGTGTAAATGAGATCCAGCTGAAGGTATGTCTGGTGATTGGAATGCTTTTGCCCTTGATTAAATAGCATTATACCAGTGCTCACAATCTGTCCCCATTCCAGGAAGTGACAACTTTTACCAGTCTGGCTTAGCTAGTTTACTCGAAACTGTAGATGTGCAATAGTGCAAGATTTTGATTATGGAACCAAGAATAAAATTCCAGGTGGTAAAATCACCTGGATGTTGAGTTGCCTAACTTCACAGACTGCAGTTTGAAATTTTTCTCTGAGTTAGAACTCCAGAGCTTATAAAAGTGAGAAGTGAATAATTTTTAATAGAACTCCAGAAGCAACTTGCTCAGTTCAGGTTTGCTTCAAATGAAGAATTCTAACAATATTTGCTTGAATATAGCTGAAGTTCAGCTTGGTAATAAAAAGCTAGTTATTCTTGTTAAGAAAGTCTGGCTTTCCATTTCCTTTTTCTCTTTTTATTGTAAGTTTCTCATTACTCAAAACTCAAACTACATTCAAACCAGACAATTTTAGTTTCTTGAAAAAATTTAGTGAACATTATTCAAAGTGGTATGGTACATTGGTTGTATTCTATTATTTTTTTTATTCTTTTACCTTTGTTTCTGTTTAAATGGACTGTTTTTTTGCAATGCCCTGAAAGGAAACTATATTAATTGTCATAAAATATCACAACACTATTGGTGTTCAAAGGCTTGTCAAATTATGGCTTTGAAACACTGTAATTTTTTTCTCATTAGTAGGTCTTTTATATTTCTCATTAGAGAAGAGTGATCCAACATTGTTGAGTTTCTGAATATTTCTCAAAGATCTAACTCCTAAAATCAGTCTTGAAAGACACTCAAATTTTACACAAAGAAGTATACATGTTCTTTGTGGTGTAGAGAAGCACTAGGAAGATAAACCTGAAAGGCTGCAGCTACAACTGCCCCCCAGGTTCTCAGATCCTGACTTTGAAAATTCTAATTCTCCACTGTGCTAACAGGCATACCCTGAAGGCGTGATTTGTGTTCCACTCCCCTTCCCATTGCAAGAGAAACAGCAGCGTAAGCATTGCGTTGGGAGGGTAGGTGTGAGCCAGAGGTGGGTTCCATGTGGCACAACAACTGGAATAAATGGGACTCGGGTATTTTTATCTCTGCATTTTCATGTATGTGACGAAGTTGCCATCCAGCCTGCAGCAGCACTTGTTTCGTGTCTGGCTTTGGCCAGTGCCGTGTTCCATCTTTCCTAGTGCAGGTGAAGGGTCAGTCTTGCCATTGCTTGTGTGCCCCATCAGACACTGCATCTTGAAATGTTAATTTCTATGGTTTTCACCACTGCACTCTGCCTTAGGTTGTATGATGGTTGGCCATTTTCGTTAAGGACCTGTTCATGCATATTTATGAGCACATGTGAAAGTACTTAATTTCCTATGCTAATACTATTTTGGTTTATTATTTTTCTAGGCTTTTATAAGCACTTTCTCCAAAGCACTACAAGCAGAGTATAAAGCAAAGGGAATTATCATACAGGTGATGCTATTTCTTCCCGTATGTGCCGTCATTTTAGCAAATTTGTCAAGAATATCGGAGATATGTTTGTGTGTGACTGCTGGGTGACCCTGTCAAAGCTCTGTCTCCTCCCTTTGTGTAGCTTTTTGCCTTATTCCACCATAGTACCATTACTTATTCCACATACACAAATACCTATTAGAATTTGTCAGATGCTGTGGGGTTCTGCAGAATGAATTGCTTTATGTAAATGTTAGATGGCATTACACTGTGACTATGATTTCTTACTTTAGGTAGTGGCTCCTTACGGGATTTCTACTCCAATGACAATGTACCAAAAACCCGGCCTTATTACAAAGAAAGCAGAAGAGTTTGTTCGTGAATCACTGGATTATGTCACCTTTGGAGATGAGATTTTTGGATGTTTAGCCCATGAAATGCTGGTAATTGAATTTGATAGCATGTAAACAGGTCCCAAAGGCTGAACCCAGGCTGTCTGGGCTCAGCAGGTTCTTTTGACTGATTTCAGATATCTTAAGGTTGGACACCAAATGACAAATGATGCATAGGTTGATAAGGTTACTATGGCACCAGTAAACTATGAAGGGACAAATATACAAGTAAAGCATAGTGGTATCAGCACAGTGTGGCTTTCTCCATTTTTGTGTCTTGAGTTGATTTCTGATTATCTGATTAATCTTTATCCTTACTCTAGCCGCCTGTTTTCAGGATGGTATTAGGAATATTTCTGAGACCCCTTACTCCCTATAGAAATTGGCCAGCAGATTCAGAAGGTATTAGTGGGGAAGGGGAAGGAGATAAAAACAGACTGTGCTATCACATAAACACAATTTCCTTAGGATACCAAGGTAACAAAATAGAATAAATATTTATGTATGGCAGCTGATAACAATTAGCGTTAAATTAAATTATAGGGAAGAGAACAAACTTGCTGAAAACTGACAGGAATTAATGTTTCCCTCTAAAATAAATATGCATACTGAAAGTATAAAGTAAAAGATTTTATTTACTGTTTTTTGTGACCTTTCTGAAAACTTGTTTAATTTATTTCAAAAGGTTCCTATCACCATTTGACTTTGTATTATTTTTGCTTGATTATTCTGAAGGCATGTGTCCTGCAGTTCATTCCTTTGTGGGTCTTCCACAGTAACAGAGTTCAAGAAGCTGTCCTGCATGTATTCACTGGTTATCTGAAGAAGAGGTGGAGGAACCCATAACAGAGTCATTTTTTTTCGGAAGAGATGCAATGGGAATCCCCAGCAGGAGGGATTTTATTGTGTACCTGTGTGTGTGAATGTGGAAGGAGTCAAATCAGTTTGAGCTACAACTCCATCCAAATCACCTATCAAGTGATAAGTGATTTGATCTGATGCATCTATTAAGTAAACTCATCCCTATCCATTTCCAACAACTATAACATTTGCTAGTGCTTTTCTAGTGATTTCTGTGGTCCTTATTTAGTTTCTAAGAATTTTATGTTACTATTTTAATATAAGCTTGGAGGCCGCAAGTATTTATACTTATTTGATGTTCATGAATAAAAAAATTAATATGCTTGATTTCCAAATTTGTTCACAATGTATTTTGATGCTTTCAGTGAGTGTCTTGTGTCTTGGTTTCTTCTGAAAGGTCAAGGGGTCTGCAAGAAGAAAAAAGAAAAAAAAAAATCTTTCAGGGTGTAGAGTACACACTGGACCTTTGGAAGTCTGCAACCATAAAAATTGTATTTCTGTCTGGAGTCTGTGAATTACTTCATCGTCTGCAATATCTGACAGGGGCTGGAGGAGGCAGGAGCATAGGCAAAAAGGTTTACAAGTAATTCTGCATTGCTAGATAAATTCAGAAGGCAGGCCTTTTTGATTGTAGATACCTGTGAAGATCATACTGGATGCTATTAAAAAGCATTTCAAGGATAATGCCATTGTCATGCACAGTTAACATGAGTTCACAAAGGAGAAGTGTTTAACTAATTCGATATCCTTCTATGATAAGTTCCATCTTCTAGTGGATGAAGGGAATGTGGTACATGCAGTTTTTCTCAATTTTACTAAGGTTTTTGATACTGTTCCTCACAGCATCCTTCTGGATGTGGTGTCCAACTGTGAGATGTGCAGGTTCATGGTGCACTGGGTAAAGAACTGGCTGAATGGCAGGGTTCAAAGTGGTGTCATGAGTGGGGCTACACCCAGCTGGTGACCAGTCACTAGCTGTGTTCCTCAGGGTTCAGTTCTAGGGCAAGTTCTGTTTAACATGTTTGCCAAGCTCTGGATACAGGATTGGGATGCACCATTAGCAAGCTTGTTGAGGATACTAAACTGGGAGGTGCAGTTGACTCTTTTGATGGACAAGAGGCCTTGCAGAGGGATCTATATAGATTGGAGCATTGGGCAATTATCAATGGCATGAAATTTAACAAGAAGAAATGCCAGATTCTGCACTGAGATCTTTGAACTGACATAATGAAAAATGTGATACATAAAATGATATGCATCTTTCTCACAGTAAAATCAGATTTGATTCAGGTCTGCAAACAGTCATTAAAAAATCACCTTATTTGCGTGGATTGCCAGGTTCTGCCATCAAATTCAATGCAGCTGCTGATAAAATTACCTTCTTTCATGCCAGAGTTGGAAATGGAAAAGTAACTCACTCAGAGATTAGTATTAATATTAGATCAGTATTAACCCCAGAATTAAAAAAGGCTTGATGCACAACTAAAATGATGAAATTTTAATATACTGTAGGTATTCTGTATTTCTGGTTTGGATTATTTTTTAACCTTTGAAATTCACATGTTTGATGCTTTTCCTGTGTCTCCTTAAAAACAAAACTAAACCACACCACCACTGTCACCAAACAATAAAAATACCAAACCAACCAACCAACCAACCAAGAAACAAACCCAGAAGCATTTATTTTGTATATGTTTAAATATACAACAGAGCAGCTCAAATTCATCCATAATGTCATGATTCTAGAACGTGATGGTTAAAGGAAAACATAAGCAAGCATGTATCTCGATAAAATCATGTCTGTAAACATTATAATTTCTCTCTTGAGATGGGATTTTCAATGAGTCTTTTAACTGTGCTGAAAATGAAATCATGTCTTTGAATACAAGTGGTATCTGAGCCATGTTGCTGAAGGACAGTGGGAAAAGTGTTGAGATGTGGGAGTGCTGCAGTGTCACAGCAGCAGCATTAGCTTGAGAGGTTATCCCTGTGTAGAACTTTTCTTCAGAATTCCTTGAGATGAAATAGCTAATTGCAGCTATTTCTACATCTACAGGGGATAAAGCTTCAGAAACATCACCGCCAGCCCTCAGAATAAATTTTGCCTACTAGTTTCAATGGACTGTAAGTGGAAGTTAAAACTTCCACTTTGTGCATGTGAAAGTGTATATCTCAATGTAGATTTCCTGGGTTTTAAGGAAGGAGTGAGGGAAAATTTCTGTTTGGTGGTCTGTCTTAATCATCATTAGAGACAAAAGCAGTGGATAAAGTTTTTTTTAAAACCAGTTTTGTTGTTCAGGAGCAAAAGTATCATTGATTCTTAGAGTATGAAATCAGCCTTTTCAAAATGCTTACCAATTAATTTGTCTTAGATTCTCTCTTGTCATCAGATGATAACATTCCATTCTTTGGAGCATTTCTTTCTATGACTCTAGAAATTTTTTAAAAACTTCACTTGTGCTGTATGTCCATCACATTTTATAGTCTTTTTAATTAAATGCCTTGTATGTTTCTGTATAGCCTCTTGTATTTCATGCCTTAATAGAAAATAATTCTTCAAATAAAACTACTACTAAATATCACCACCCAATATAGAAAACATCTGGAAGTGAATATGAGACATCTGTGCTGGACAGTTCAGCGTTAATGGTTTGAGAAGCAAGGAGTGGGAATGGTTTGTTCATCACTCCGTAAAGAATATGTTTTCAAGTGATTAAACTATATTCTTCTAAGTGTGATGTTTGTGCAGCTGTGCAGCAAATAAGTATGGAATATAATATATGATTGATACATATTACATGTGGGCCAAAAGCTGAAGTCCTTAGGGGAAATAATTCAATAGGAGGCCTGAGTGTGAAATGCAGTGTTTGTCTGCCATTAGTGTAAGTGCTCGTTTCTGCATGGATGTGTGTGTTCTCAGGCACAGAG